CAGTGTGTTATAAGTCCTCACAGTTGGAGCAACTCCTTTCTTTACCATGTTCTCTATCCACTTCTCCGCTTCGTCCATCTTCTGCATTTCACAAAACTTGTGAATCAAGCAATTGAAAGTGATGCTATTTGGCCTCAACCCTTTTCTTTCCATGCGCTCCACGATCGAAATAGCTTTATCCATGTCGCCCACCAGACAGTACCCATTTACAATAGTGTTGTACACCACTTCATCAGGAGTTAGGCGACCCTCCAGTTTCGTCAAAATCTCCTCAGCCTTCTCAACTCTACCTTCTCTGCACAGCCCGTTCAAAAGAATACTACTGGTGTAGTTATTGATCCGAACTCCATCCGAAATGGCTGCCTCATACCATTCCAATGCGCCTGCTCCATCGCCACTCTTCGACATGCCATCCAAAAGTGTGGATACAGTAAAGCTGTCCGGCTCAAACCCACATTCCTTCATCTCCTTCAACAGCACTTGGGCTTCCCCCATTCTCTTAGCCTTACACAAGGCACTTAGCAGCGTGTTGAAAGTTACAATGCTCGGCTCAACGTTCTCTTTCCTCATCCTACCTCTCAAACCAAATGCTTCCTCTACTTCTCCTACTTTACAATAACCATCGATCAATGTATTGTACGTCACTTTATTAGCAGCCAAATTCCACTTACACATTTCGTCGAACACCTTCTCTGCATCCCGGATTCTCCTTTCCTTGCACAGCCCACCGATCAGGACATTGAAAACAAACACATTAGGACGCACTCCAGAACTCTTCATCGACTCAAAAAGCTCCGTACCCTTCTTCAGATCCCCTGACTTCACAGCGGCTTGCACAGCCTTCCCGTACATGAACGTATCAGGCCTGAAACCCAACTCCATTGTCTCCGCAAACAAAGCCAGCACCTTTTCGAACTGCTTCATCTCCACCAGCGCCCCTAAACACTCCCTGGCAGCTAAAAAGGGAGAAAGATCCCTTCTTCCCCTGTAACCCTGACCTTCCATTTTGGACTCGCAGCTTATGGCGAGCAACATGTGGGAGAGAGTAGGTCTGATCGACGGAGAAGCGGCGGAGATGAAGGAGAGGAGATCGGAGGGTGACGAGAACGGAGACTTTGATAGAACGAGGGATTTGGTGAATTGGTAAGCCGCCGTCTCGCCGCTTTCTTGAAGGAGACCCAACAGCTTTTCAACTACTTCATGCCGTTCCTGGTCTTCGGCTTGCTGTGGCGGAGAGAGCGAGCAGAAAGGAGAAGAAAAAGAAGAGAAAGTCGGAGGAAAGTTTTTCCTGGGTGTTGGGGAATTGAGTATGGGAAGGAGACGCCGCGGCAGCTGCCTCGCCGCCATTGCAGAGCTTCGGCGGTGGTTCTGAGCTCCTTCTCCCGCTAAAACCCTCTTTGCACTCTCGACTATCCAAACGGTTAAACCGTAATAAGGGGCCAATTGGGTGTCCTGTCCTGTCACAGAAGGCCTAAATATCGCGAGATATCGTTACCGCGTTTCGAATTCGGTTTTGAGGACTCGAAACATATCGCGTTTCGGCGTTTCAGCCGTCTCACGATTTTCCCGCGGATTTTTCCTCTGCCGTCCGCCGCCTCCTTCCCCTGCTGCTGCTGCGGCGGCAGCCGGTGGTGGACGGTAAAGCTCTCCTCACGAACTATCACCAGGATTTCCTGATCCCCCCCGGTAAAGAATTCCGATGACAGATGGTGGGTAATTTACTGGTCAGAGGCCAGCGTCAAAACTCAAGCAGTATTATTTCTTGATCAGCAATCATTCTGTTTTCCGCCATTGCTGCGGTGGTTTTCCCTTCTAGCTTCAGAGGTTACCCCTGTTCTCTCTTGTTTAACACACAGAGCGTGGGGTTGCTTCATGCTATAAATTGTAACCCAAAGAAGCAACGATAACAAATAGTCTGGTGTTCAAGCTGAAGAATTAAGCAAGTTAGCGCTCTGACTAAAGTGGTTAACCGTACACAAGCATACAAACACAAGGACCCAGGGTTCATTTCCAGAGATTGTTCTAATACAAGTACGGCAATATCCTCCATGGAACCAATCGACGGTATTCTGCCCAAACTTCTCTATACTTCTCCGCGCAGCGAGCCTCGTCTCTTCTTTCTCTCCATATCAGCAGGATCAGAAGATAGATTGGGTAGAAGTATGGAACCGGAGAGCTGCAAGAAAATGGCAGGCAGAAGATGAGCTTTCCAGGGAGAAACTCGGAACAGAGATGGCTCGGAAGTCGGAACTGAGAAGCTGAGAACATGACTACCTTATTCCGCACGGAAGGCTGAATGACAAAGCCAGCATTAAGTCACCAAGATAGTTGCAATGCCTTGCAATTCCCCTTCACGAAGAACAACATCACAAAGCGTCAAGATCATACGTCGGAGTGAAGCAGCAATCCCCGACAGAGTTAAGCATCTTGAGATTGGGGTTATAACCAATTAACCAACACAAACATACCAATATCCAGAAGCCAGCAGCTTTCCTCCAATGACTCTCGGCGCCTTGCCCCATATTGGCGCTTTGGGATCCTTTTTGAAATCGTGTTTCTGCTTGTTAGCTCCTCTAAATACCATATATCTGCAGATGATTTAATACACTCCAGCAGTGTGAGTTTAGGTAATACGTATAAACAAGTGAAATAGAATGGCAATGCATTATTCTCTGTTTACCCCATCAGGAACACAAAGCAATTAGCAATGACGGCTGCTGTTGTTAGCTCCACGTTGTTTCTTAGCAGCCACCATCCCTGTTTAAAAGTTTGAATCATAACATCTGATATAAGTAATGCCAAGTTTTCCTCTGAATTGGTAGAAGATTAGGGAGCGCAAAGTTGAATACCTGAATGCTAAAGGTAAAAGGAATCCAAACGAGATCCCCAAACACCAGCATAAAGCCCAATCTCTCCGCAATTATGTCCCATCTAGAAATGAGAATAGTCAGAAAGAAATGAGAATAGTCAGAAAGTTTCAGATGGACCAGGATCATACTGGAATTTCGACCACAGAAAAACAACTACAGTTCACGAAATGGGGCAAAAAACATGTTCTTTGGGCGTACTTACGTAGATGTCATGTATTCTTCGTAGAAAAAGTAGTCCAGGATGTATAACTGGAGAAGGATGCCGAGAGCAAAGGATTCATCAGGGATATCAAATCTATGTTTCTTCAAAAGAAATCACACTATCAAGTATAAAATAGCAACTTACTGTACAGAAGCTTTGGTAAAGGATCATTGACTGGTTCAGGGTACCATCCTGGATACTCTTTGCTAAAACCGACAGGTTTATAAACAGCCATCCCATCATTCCAGCTCTAACAAAGAAGAATCTGCAGAAGCAAACTAATTTACAATTAGCTCAATGCTTTTACTGAAAGAACCAAGTGAAACCAAAGGGATTAAGCTTACATACTTTAAATCAATACTCAAAAACTGAGGATTAAGCTGTATTCCAAACCACCTGGAGAATAGCACAAGAAGAAAATAATTTCAGAATATTCAGATTGGCAGAATCCATACAATACAAATTGGGAAGATCATGTGGATGATCCAATGTTTGACTTGTGCACTAGAAGTCTGTTTTTCCGTTTTTATCACCATTAAATCTAGTTTTCACAGTAATGCTCAAGTTACGAGGGAAGAATGGTTGCATAGTTGGGATGCTTAATCCTTGCTCATCAAAATCTAAGTTCATGTTCCACACAAGGAATGGCAGCTTTAAATTCAGCAAAACACAATGTCCCTTATCCATGTTACAAAAATGGAATCACGATTGCCATGAAACTTTAATTTGCAAAAAACCATCCCAGCAAGAAATAAACATCAATGTCAAGTTATAAGGATTTATATGGGGTCAGATTACCAGTCTTCTATAAGGTTCCCAGTGACATGAGGCCTGAGGGAAGAACCCTTATCTTTTGACATGCGACCAGCTACATAGAGCATCATCGTCACCTGGATTTGAAGTTTTACACGTAACATCGAAATACATGAACCAAAAAAAAAAAAAAAACTCAAGTGCAGAATGCTTGTGAAGTTATCACTCACCGCAACACTGAATATAAATGTCGCTGACAAAAGCTCAAGTCCTCTTTCCGATATCACCTGCAAACATTGCTCTCAGAGAACCATCAGCACAAAGACACCAATTCTCTCAGAATTTCAAACATTGCTACGGAACTCACAGTAGCTGAAACGATCTCCATCTGAGCTCCAACACCAAGCAGCCCAACCAGCAATAACATAGACAACAAGCCTGTACAGGGGTCTCCAATCAGCACATACAACAGAAAGAAGTTTCCAGCACATCTCATCAATCAGAAAGGAGACTAGAACAGACCATTGCAGCGATAATGGAGACGGGAGCCATCCTGTAAGGTAGCACCCGAAACTACTTTCCCAGGCAATATAGATCCAGCAATAGCCAGATACCCGACATACACACCCAATACAGCAACCTAAGCACCAATTGCCACTAGAAGTCGTCAGAGAAAGATCCAGCATTGTACGGAGCTTGGCTAGGAGGAGAAACTTACAGAGTTCCAGGAGGGAATCAGGGAGTGAAGAAGCGAACCCAGATCCAAATCCATCAGCAAGTCACGTTTGCTTCGTCCCCCTTGACCAAAGATCCCGCCTTTTTCCCGAGCTTGGTTTCCCTTCTTCAATGAGCTGCTCTCTCTTACTTCTTCAGCTCGACTGAGTTCCTGTTTATTTGTTGCGGCTCGGACTGTTTGACAGTGTTTGAAGAGCGACAGTTCCGATGAGCAAAACCAATCTGTTTCTCCTTTGATTTTGACGATGAAGATGAAGGCAACGACGCCGCTTTGCATAACGAACACCCTTCTTTGGCGGTTGTTGGCCGTTGCAGCCGTGGATGGGTGGGCTTTGTCCGGACCATTGCCCACTTAGCTTACTGGCTTGAGATTTCTTGGGCCAGGCCTGGCTATCACGTCCATCCGGCCCGTTTAAAATCCCTTTGTACTTCACGCGCACTGCAGAGAGAGTTCACCACCACAGTGTTTCAAAAACGATCCCCCGACTCTCTTGCCTCCTAAACCCAACCATTTCGCGGAAACACTGGTTCAGAGGGAGAAGAGAAAGCGAAATCTCTAGAAAGAAGCTCTTGGATTCTTCCTCGTCGTCGAGCTCTCTCGATCAGCCGCAATGCAGTTCTGGGGTAAGTCTTCTATCTCTCACGTTATCAGTCCCGCAATTTCTCCGTTTCAACCGATTCTAGGGTTTCCGTGTTAGAATGGTGAAGAGTTGCTGGTTCTGGTTGTAAACGTTGGCGATTTCTCGCTGTCGGTTCCTCTGGTTAGGTCGCTTTCGTTACGCTTGAATCGGACTGTGGTTTAAATGCTGTTTTGCTCCTGATTGCAGACTGTGTTCTTCATCAGTTCCGCGTTCTGCTTGTTTGAACTTATTGATGGATTCTCTGTTATGTTGTTTGTATGTGCTGATGATTAGGTGTTGAGGTGAAAAGTGGAGAGCCGCTCCCGGTTCAGTGTGGGGATGACTTCATTCTGCACCTTTCGCAGGTTGTTGACCTTTTGGGATTTGAGCTGGAAAATTGAATTGTTCATTATCTACTGCCTTGGGGTTTTTCAGGTCCGAATACTGTTCTAAGTCTGGTGTTTGTTGGGGCAGGCTACTCTTGGTGAGTGTAAGAAGGACAAGGGAAACGGCTCGGTTTCCCTGTCTGTGAAGGTTGGGGGCAAGAAGCTCGTTCTTGGGACACTTTACCCAGAGAAGGTTCCTCAGTTGCAATTTGATTTGGTGTTTGAACGAGATTTCGAGTTATCTCATACTGGGAAGAATGGGAGTGTATACTTCATGGGTTACAAAGTTCGTGAAGCTGAATATCCTTTTTTTTCCCTTCCCTCTGATGCAGTGTAGAGTTTTCTCCTTGACCTTGTCTTTTGTAGGGGGTTTTCTTTAAGTGAATGCAAGCAGCGCAGAGTGCATATGTACTGTGTGTGTAGTGATGCAAGTTTTCCGCTTTCTGCATTATTAGAATGTTGTTTTCTCCTTGACCTTATCTTGTGTTTCTTTCACAAATGAAGACTCTGAGTTGGAGATGGAGCCTCTTCCAGCTGCTGCTGTCAATGGTATTTTTTTACAACACACTCCTGGTTGTACTTGTTAACAACAAAGTTTTGCTTTTCATTTTGACGTCTTTCAATTTTTTTTTTGGCAGGTGGACCTATATCTCTCACTAATGAGAACAAGCCGGCTAAAAGGGAAAAGGCCAAATCTGGTCCCTCTGGAACTAAGCATGTTCAAATTATTGAGCCTAAGAAGGATGACGAGGAAAGTGACGATGACTCTAGTGATGAAGATCGCTGGTTAGCTACGCAGGTGCTGTTTTGAAGCATACATGTGGCTTTGTTAGCATTGTGTATCAATTTCACACCATTTACCTTGGAGGTCCGACGTGGATACTCTTGTACAAGACTTCTTGCTCTTCCCTCTATCATTGGAAGTGCAACCTGAGTGAAAATACTTTGGTTCATTTTTATTCACGTTTCCTAACTGCCATTTGCATGTTGAACCGTTATTCCCCTTGGTCAGATTCTAATACTGGATGATGTTTTCAGGGTAAGCCGATTGAAGCTGAGGGTGAGAGTGACGAGGATGATGATGATGATGAAGACAGTGATGATGAAGAAGAAACTGATGAGGAGGAATTGGCAGACACAAAGGTAATTTCTGCACATATATATTTTAACCATTTATGAGTTCCTCCTTGGAGTAGGCTATGATGACTAACTAGTGAGCTTTTTTTCTCTCCATGAAGAAGGATACGGGCAAAAAGAGATCTGCTCCAGAGGCAAAGACCCCTGCTCCCAGCAAGAAGACCAAGTTGGTCACTCCTCAGAAAACTGGTAATAGTTTCAGTATTGATACACTGCAGCCCTCTCCTTAATCCCTCTACTGATTTGGTATCAAACACCCATTGCATTCGCTACAAGTTCCCAGAAACACTGCCTTTTGATCATGAACCCCTTTATCGATGTAACTTTACTCTGCAGGCGGGAAGAAAGCCGGTGAACACCAGGCAACTCCTCACCCTGCGAAGCAAGCATCGAAGACAGCATCCACCAGTGACTCCAAGTCTCATGTTTGCAAGTCCTGCGACAGGTAAACTCCCTCGCCTTGAATCTCTTCAAATGAAGAACAACCCCCCATCTCCGGAAACTGCATGTACGGTCCTCTTTACGTTGGTCGATTCCGTTTTTGGAACAGGACATTCGGCTCCGATAATGCTCTGCAATCTCATACCAAAGCCAAGCACGGTGATGCAAAGTGAGATGGGGTTTGCCAGCAGGGAAAGTGAAGCTTTTGTTGTGTTTGCTTTATCGCTGTTTTGAACATTTTGTGGAGTGTGTTGAAGCAGGTAGACGGGAGACGTTAGGTAGTATATCTGATGTTTGTGTATCTGTGCTTGGACAATTAGTAGCTCTTTTGTCAACCCTTCTGCTTTAAACGAATATCCCAAATCTTTGAACAGCTTCATGAATGATTTGGGCTCTTCGCACTACACCATCAAGTATTGGTGGAAGAGAATTGACGAGATTTTGCTGGAGGAGATGTTTATCTTTTTTTTAAGAACCAAACTAGAGTTTTATTTAAACACCATGTTATCTAAACCTCAGTACGCACGCCTTGTTGCAACCTAATTAAGATGCTAATTAAGCAGATCAACCTACAAATTCTTCTCATACGAGTTAAGCAGATCAATCATCTCAACTTCAATCTTGTTACGACGTATTAAACGTCCACCTACCATCTCAATATTTAACACTTACTAACTTTGATTGGAATAAAAAGGTTAAAAATTAATAATAACAATTAGAACCACTAACCACAGTTACAAAAAAGAAAAGCTACGGAAAAGCAGCAACTTTCTTTCCTTACCAAAACAAAGCACGCCTCTCATGAGATCAAACAAAACCAGCCAACCGAAAGTCAAGCAAACGGCTTCGCAGGCCCATAGAATAAAAAAGGGCCGAGAGGGAATATCCACGTTGCGCCGTGGGAGAGAGTTCAGCAAAAAAAAAAAAAAAAAAACCAGATGTACTTGTACATCTCCACCGTCGATCTCATCCGACAGCTGCGATCGCCTTGTGATTTTTCTTGGCTCCCCCGGCATTTTGTCCTACATATATACCGGATGTCTTCCGCCTTTGGTCATCACTCCAACCAACTGCCTTCTGTCTATATTCCCTCTTCCTCGTGATTTTCTAGATCTACCATGGCGATCACCATCGTTTCTGTCAAGGCTCGCCAGATCTTCGACAGTCGCGGTAACCCCACCGTCGAGGTTCGTTCCATCTCTATCTCTTACCTCTCGCAAATGGTTTCCATAAACGGATGCGCTGGTTGATTAATTAAATACGATTTAGGATCTATGAAACTTATGATGATTATTGCGCATTGAGGATGTTGTTTCCGAGTTTGTGTCGATGGAGCTTAGATTGATTGATTGAGTTTTTCATTTCGTTTCGGTTGGTTGTGTGTAGACTGATATTACGCTGTCCGATGGCTACTTGGCCAGAGCCGCCGTTCCGAGCGGTGCTTCTACCGGTACGTAGCTTTTGAGCTATTCGAGGAATAAACTGTGAGAGTAATCAGAACTGGTTGTTTGATTTGATTCCTTCCTTTTCTGTGAAGGTATTTACGAGGCTCTCGAGCTCCGGGACGGAGGATCTGAGTACCTTGGGAAAGGTGTCTCTAAGGTGAGTTAGTCGCCAATGGTGATTGCCTCTGAGATTCTCTATCGGTATAGCTTGGTGTGTGATTTCTGAAGCTGGTTGTATTTTCGTTTTCGATTTGGCTTGTAGGCTGTTAACAATGTGAACTCCATTATCGGCCCTGCATTGATCGGCAAGGTTAGTAGTTGTAGCATTCTATGGATCGCAGTTCATTCTCCTTTTCAGCTCAGATTAGATTAAGTTCGGTTTGAACTGAATGGTTTTGTTTGATTCTGTTTGATGTCGACAGGACCCTGCTGAGCAGACTGCTATTGATACCTTTATGGTTCAGCAACTCGATGGAACTGTTAACGAGTGGGGTTGGTGCAAGCAGAAGGTATGTTATTAGTCTAACAGACAGATCACCCTGACATTGATTGCCGAATCTCGTTTCGGCTTTAGTTCCTGGGCTGATTCCTTCTGTTTACCTCTTAATCCCCAGCTTGGAGCAAATGCCATCCTGGCTGTGTCTCTTGCAGTCTGCAAAGCTGGAGCTCATGCCAAGGGCATCCCACTCTACAAGGTAGATTGTCTAAATGATTGCTCATTTTCAAGCCATTTCTCAATACTATAAGCTGTTGTATTGGTTGTTTGTTATGGGTTATTAGAACGGTGGGTTCTGCTGTAACGGTGTCTGATATATCTACATGATGTCTGGATGCAGCACATTGCAAACCTTGCTGGCAACTCTAAGCTGGTGCTTCCAGTTCCTGCTTTCAATGTCATCAACGGTGGATCTCATGCTGGAAACAAGCTCGCTATGCAGGAATTCATGATTCTTCCCACCGGAGCTTCCTCCTTCAAGGAAGCCATGAAGATGGGTGCTGAGGTCTACCATCATTTGAAGGTTGGTCTCCAGTAAACTCCTCATTGTTTGTGTTTTCTCTTATAACTATGGTTGCTGATGCATATCTCGTTGTAAAGCTGCCTTGGGTGGGCGTCCTGCAATTTATTTGGATATTATGATTGATAAAATCTGTTATCTTTTTGCAGTCTGTGATTAAGAAGAAGTACGGTCAGGATGCAACTAATGTTGGTGACGAGGGTGGCTTTGCCCCTAACATTCAGGTATAGCTTGTTTGATGGAGTTTCCGGATTAATATGAAGTTTCATTCTTGCGATTAGTTGGTTAATGTGGTGTTGCAAAATTTGTTATCTCAGGAAAACAAGGAAGGTCTTGAGTTGCTCAAGACTGCTATTGCCAAGGCTGGTTATTCAGACAAGGTCAGTTTGCTCGTTTACCATCTCAATTCATTAGCCTCTCGGGAGATCGTTTTGAATATCTTAATAATCAAAAGTCTGTACATGCATCGATTAGGTGGTTATTGGAATGGATGTGGCTGCATCTGAGTTTTACACATCAGACAAGAAGTACGACCTGAACTTTAAGGAAGAGGTATGGTTCTTGTCAAATGGTCACCACACCTCTGAGGAACACGAATCACTTACATGGTAGACAACTTAATTGTGTGCCATCTTGTTTTCCAGAACAACAATGGTGCCGACAAGATCTCTGGTGATGCCCTCAAGGATCTGTACAAGTCATTTGCGACAGAGTACCCTATTGTGTCCATTGAGGATCCCTTTGACCAAGACGACTGGGAACACTACAACAAGATGACCAGTGAAATAGGAGAGAAGGTTCAGATTGTGGGAGACGATCTCTTGGTCACCAACCCCAAGGTCAGCTCATATAAACCTCTTCTCTTCCTATTATTTTGCTGTCTCAGTACGATATTCATTTGGCCTGTGCTAAAATCTTGCTTGTTTTCATTTCGACAGAGGGTCGAGAAAGCCATCAAGGATAAGGCTTGCAATGCTCTCCTCCTCAAGGTTAACCAAATTGGATCTGTGACAGAGAGCATTGAAGCTGTGAAGATGTCGAAGCGCGCTGGATGGGGAGTGATGGCCAGCCACCGCAGTGGTGAAACCGAGGACACCTTCATTGCTGATCTCTCAGTCGGTCTATCCACGGTAATTTATGATCAATCTCACACCACCAGTCTTAGTTGCTGCTGACTTTGCTCGAGAATCGTTTCACTCATCCGTATTACTCGAAACCACATGCAGGGACAAATCAAGACGGGAGCACCTTGCCGGTCTGAGCGTCTGGCTAAGTACAACCAGCTGTTGAGGATTGAGGAAGAGCTGGGATCGGAAGCCGTCTATGCCGGAGCCAACTTCAGGAAGCCTGTCGAGCCATACTAGAGAACTGAGGAACGATAGCGAGATGAATGGGACGCAGAGGGTGTGTGGATTTGACGGGCGGATCTCGGAAGAATCTTTTTATGTAGGGTTCGGGCTGTCATTTAAGATTTCGGTTTGAATAATTTTCTGCGATGGACCCAAGTTGTCTTTTTTGGCTGTGGTTCGGAACGTTGTATTAACTGAGCTGTCCTGATTTTGTGAGGTTCTGTGAGTTCTGGTAATGTTTAGAAGTATGGTCCAATATAATCCTGCCCACCGTTTTAATGTTTTGTGGGGTTAGCTTAATTTTAATGTTTTGAAGTATAAGATGAAATTAATATAAATTGAGTTTTTTCAGTAAAAAAAAATATATATATATAAATTGAGTTTTCGGTTGAATGAAATCAAAACCATATAGTAGATCTTAGAGAATGTTAAACAAGAAAAATAGTCTTTCATCCGTTATTGGTTTGGGTAGAGTTCAGTGGGCGATGGATGTGTATAATTGGGGTATAAGTTGTCATGTAAAATAAAAATTTTAACTAGTCATTAAGAAATTTTAAAGTGCTTATGAAATATTTGAATCAAAATTTTCTATTAGTCCATCAGCCAATTATGTAGAGAGGATTGACGCATTTTGCTACTTTGTTACATTTATAGCTCATAATTTGCATCGTTGCAAATCTATTTTCTTGCCACGGCTGCATTGTTAATTTCACGCAACTTACTGGTGATCGCAGCACCAAGAGTTTTCAACCAATATTTAAGTCTAGATACCGCTTGATTTCGTTAATCTTATCGATGCGAGTCCGAGCAAGAATCAAGTCGTCCACATAGATAAGAAGAAATGCTTTAGGGATTTGAAAATAAGCGTAGATTTAGAGATTACTGAATTGGTCAACCTTTCAAACACGAGTTGAATCCATGAGCATGTGAGAGACAACTTCGTAAACTAAAACATCTTAATAACTAGAGTAAAAGAAAGCAAAAGCAATTCATGTAGTAGCGGCCAGCGAAATGGGAGGAACCTAAACTATGAAAACAGGGTTGTGGGAGAGCAATACATTAACTAAGTACGCCAAAGACAAAGTACGGAAAGGTGTCTATAACTTCTGTGTCGGGTCCTACCCCAACCTAGAGTAACTAACTGGGGAATTAAATTAATACTTGTTTATACATTGGCCAAGACTTCATCAAGAGTCAAGACCATAAATACGAGCAATGTTGTCTCCTACTTGAAATATGGTTCTGGTATCTTATGGACATTATAAAACATATTAATCAATAATATTAATCCAAAAATATTCTTTATTCTCAACCTTTAGAAGTCGATAGCCAGTGTGTAGTGCTATTAGAAAATATTATGATAATACGATATGTTGTGTAGTTTATAATTTCCATCCCAATATCTAGTGGACAGTACACAACATATTAATCAAAAAATATTATATAATATTCACCTTCAGAAGTCGATAGTTTGTGTGTAGTGTTATTGGGAAATATGAAGATTATATGATAGTATAAACAAGGAACAACTTTTTGTCATGTGAACATTTGGTGTGCCGAATGACCCACAATCCACCCACCACTCATCCGAATAAATGCATGTAGGAGATTCATCAATCCGCAATCCACTCACATTAATTACCCTCCCACTGTGATTCGAATTATTTGTAGGTGGATCGATGTCAAACCGCGAATTAAAACACTAAGTGCCTACCACTATCCTCAACAACAAACTTAACATAAAAAATTCAATAACAGAGACTAGTGGCGGAGCCATGGTACAACCCCTACTCAACTCTTAATATTGTGTAAATTTACATGTAAATCTCATAAAAAAATAATTGACAATGTTTTTTTGCAGGCTGTGGGGTTCGAACCCACGCGCACTTATGTGCAGAAGATCTTAAGTCTTCCCCCTTAAACCACTCGGGCAAACCTGCGCATTGTTTGTGTGATACACAAATACAATATATTGCAACCTACTTCTTATAAATAATAGATATAAGATAACGCATCGTCGCGCACCGAAAAGAAAACCCTAGATCGTTGCGGCCGAGAAACAAAGAAAGAAAAAGAGGGAAGACGAAACCAAAGTCGCTAGACAGGAAGAGAACAGAGAGCCAAAGAGAAAAATCAATCAACCATGGCGGAGCACTTGGCGTCGATCTTCGGTACCGAGAAGGACAGGGTGAACTGCCCCTTCTATTTCAAGATCGGAGCCTGTCGCCACGGCGACCGCTGCTCTCGCCTCCACACGAAGCCGAGCATCAGCCCGACTCTCCTCCTCGCCAACATGTACCAGAGGCCCGACATGCTCACCCCCGGCGTTGACCCGGCCTCCCAGTCCCAGGGGCTCGACCCTCGCAAGATCCAAGACCACTTCGAGGATTTCTACCAGGACCTGTTCGAGGAGCTCAGCAAGCACGGGCACATCGAGAGCTTGAACATCTGTGATAATCTCGCGGACCACATGGTGCGTTTAGGGTCTTGCTCTCTCTCTCTCTCTCTCTTTATCCATAATATCTGGTGATTTTTTTGTGCTTATTTTGATTGAATTTATCTCGAATTTGGAGCAGGTTGGGAACGTGTATGTCCAGTTTAGAGAGGAGGATCATGCTGCCAGTGCACTCCAGGCTCTTACTGGAAGGTTCTATGCAGGTATGTCTCTCTTCTCTGTAAGTAATTAGATTTCAGAAAGTTTTGAGCTTGTTGAGCGTATAATATTAAGTGGTATGATAGAAGTAGTTGATTTTTGTGGCTCCTGATGGTTTCAGCTAGTTATTGATCTATCCGAAATCTTTTTGAGCTTGTTTGAGCTGTGATTATGTTACATTGACAGCTTAAATTGATTCTTCTGATTGTTGGTGGTGCACGGATTACAGTTTTGAGTATGATGGAATATAGCTATTAGATCTGGAAATAAGTGTGTTTGAATGATTTGATTCTATGTGTTTATGATCTGTTTGCAGGGCGGCCGATCATTGTTGACTTCTCTCCGGTGACGGATTTTCGTGAGGCAACATGTAGGCAGTATGAGGAAAATGTGTGCAACAGAGGCGGATACTGTAACTTCATGCATTTGAAGAAGATCAGCAGGTGAAGGAGATTCTTACGGTTAAAGTGTATTTGTGTAATTGTGGTGATATATTGTTTATAGCTTAGCTAATGATCATTCGTTCATTGACTTCAGGGAGTTGAGGAGGCAGCTATTTGGGAGGAACAGGAGAAGGAACAGTAGGAGCAGGAGCCGTAGTCCCCCGAGGCACCGTGGCCATGATGATCGTCCTCCTCATGGCGGCCCACATCATGGTGGTCGTAGCTTCGGGAGAAGAGATGACGACAGGGGTCACCACCTTGAGAGGGGTGGTGGTGGCAGGAGGCCAAGAAGCCGGAGTCCGCCTGGAAGAAGGGGAGGGGGCAGGAGCAGAAGTCCTGTAGGAGGAGGAAGGAGAAATAGGAGTCCTCCAATGATGAGAGAGATGAGAGAGAGTAGCGCTGAGAGGAGGGCAAAGATTGAGCAGTGGAACAGGGAGAGAGAGCAGCCAGAGCCTGATAATAGGGGCGGTGATCTCGATGGGAACAACAGCAATGGATTGGCAAGAAACAATGGCGGGGGTAGCTCCCCGGATGATCATCAGTATCAGTAGGGATCAAAGCTGGATGCTGCTACTCACCAACTTAAAGAGGTGCCTGGTTTATCATTCCCCTTCTCTAAGTTGATCTTCAAAACGGACCTTGTTTTCGTGATAACAAAGAGAAAATTAGCTAGTTATCCCACTCCAGGAACTGTAGCTCACTGCCATTTCCACTGTGCAGGTGGAGTACAGGTTCAGTTGTCTTGTGTCAACCCCCCTCCACTTATCACCTCCTTTAACCAATTGAACAGGCTATCAAATCAAATTAGGATAAGAAAAAGTGTTTTGAACCATTGTCCTCTATAAAACTTGTGTAGTTTCCTTTGAAAACCCTTTTCAGCAAGCTTTGTTTAGCCGGGGGCAGGTCTGGTCTGTAGAATCTTCTGAGTTTGAAAAAGCTTAGTAAAACCACTAGGTACAGGTTCTTGCTTGGGTAAGTGTTTAGTCTGTTCAAGTTGAAAATGAATTGTGCTCTTGGAAACGTTGGTAGGGAAATCTTTCAAGTTGTTACGTTGACTGGTTTGAAACTATTACAAATCCTAGTTGCCTGCTGCACGTTGGTATACCAACCAATCATAGTTTTGGCTTAAGGGCAATCTTCAGTATACTTACAAGCAGTGAATTGAAGTTCGTAATATCTAGTGGACACTTATTTTTCCTTTGTGGTGTTTCTGCTTCTTACGCAATTTACGAGTTTTGCAGGTTCAGGTGGCCTCATATAATTTTCTTGCAGCTTACCAGAGTGTTTCTATACAGGTTTTTTCGGCGCTGATAAAAACTGCAGGAGCCATTGTTGCAGGTGGTGTTGGAGACATAGCTTTGAGAAGAGGCAGAGTAGTGGGGGCATTTTTCAAGTTTCCTGTTGTAGTCTTGTTAAACAAAAACATATTCTTTATGGATTTGCTCTTGTTGTTTTCTAGATGTTGAAAGACAATATTGTTGAATCTTAACTTATCGACTTTGTTGCATTCCTCTCGTTTCTTTGGGATATTCTTCACATGACATGATGAGAACCATTACTTTCTTCTATGTTCGATTATGTAAAACATAATATTTGTATTGCTGTCATATGTGGGTGTAGTCTTGTTGTTGATCGCACCCTTCTGTTTTCCAAACTTGTTGCAAGTTTTTTTTTTTTTGTGGAGTGTAGTTTTAATGCTAATAATTCAGAGTCTATGTCGCACCTATATTTTAAAGTTGAAAGAGGCGGATTAATCCGTAACGTAATAGCTAGCTACATCACTGGCTGGGCCGGAACAAAATTCCTACTTCTGATCACCAAAACCAAAACGCATCTGGTCACCAGAACACTTCACCGTAGAATTGCGCTTAGTTAATTAGGAGTGGTTTCTGTTTCTAGTATAAAAAAAAAATCAATTGGAAACACAAAGTTCCAAGTCCATCCTTCCGTTTCATTCTTATTACCTCATCTCAAACAGAACCAAACAGCACAGAAAACGAAAATAACTCCGGGACCTAAGAAGACAAACTAGAAATAACAGAGGACCAAAACGGTAAAAAAAAAAAGTCCCCCCACTCGCCCTTCAGCCGCTTCACACTCACAGAGCCTTGAGCATATCCTCGGCGCCGCTGAAAGTGAACGCGCCGCCTTCCTCCAGATTCATCACCTTCACGACGCCGTCCTCCGCCAGCAGCGCATACCTCCTCGACCTAACCCCGAGCCCGACCGGCTTATCGCTCAGATCCAGCTCCACCCCCAACGCCCTGGTGAAATCTCCATTCCCGTCGGAGAGCAGCAGCAAGCCGGCGTCGTCCTTAATCCCCAAATTCTCCTTCCACGCCTTCATCACGAACACGTCGTTCACCGAGACGCAGGCGATTGTGTCGACTCCCTTCGATTTCAGCTCCGCCGCCTTCTCCACGAACCCCGGGACGTGCTTCTGCGAGCAGGTCGGGGTGAACGCTCCGGGGACGGCGAAGAGGATGGCCTTCTTCCCCGCGGTGAGGGACGAGATCGTGACGGTCTGGACCTCGTCGTCGGCGTCGAGGTAGGAGAGCGTGGCGTCGGGGAGCTTGTCGCCGACGGAGATCGAGGCGGAGATTGAGGGTACCGCGGCGGCGGTGGATCTGGTGGCGGAGAATCGTCTGGATCTGGAGGTCAGTCGGAGCGGGAGGGTTTTGAGGGAGGAGAGTGAGGAGGCGGAGGGGGTTGAGACCGGCGGGAGGAGGAAGGCTTTGGCGGTGGCAGCGGATGCCGGGGAGGAGGCGAGGAAGGTTCTGGAGATGGAGAAGGAGGCGGCCATGGCGAAATTGGCTGTATTGAGAGAGTGAAGTGTAGATTGATTGTAAGCCGGGAGGGTTTTGATATGGATGGATGGCGTTAGTTCGGCCAGGTGGCTGGCGATGGAAACGAAGATTTGACTAACGAATGAGAGGGGACGAGTGACGGCCACGTGTGTGTGGCACGTGCGACGGAGGAAACGAAGAGGCGTTTGGTTTCCTTTTCCATTCTTTTATATTTTTGTGCTTCTAATTTTCCGCCGGCTGAAACGGCGGATATTTCATTATTTACTGTATTTACTTACCTACCTTCGTGGTGCTGAAGAGTCAAGGAACATCGCGCTCGTTGGGCTGGCCTTGGACCAAAACCATGAATTATGGACCTGTGACTAGGGTTCGCCAAATCAAATGATTTAGTCGGGCCGAAGTCCAATATTTTGTCACCTGGTCCAATCTGTGAAGACCACCTAATATTGGGCCGATCCTTCAGTACAATTACGTTTCTCTGTTTATTTCCAAGTGTAATCTCAGTATAAAGAACCCGTTGTTTTGGATCTTTCTCCGTTGTATGATTTTTTCACATGATATCTCTACTTTCTTATGATAAGACATCGATACATTTTTTTTTAGAATAGTGATTTTTTTTCATTTTTTTTCATTGGTGGTTGATCATAAGATTCGAATTTAGAATGTGATGAATATTCTTATTTCCATATTACTACACTGCCAACTTCTTGGAATTGATTTCTTATCTTTCCATATCAATTTCGAGTAGATAAATGATCGATAAGAACTTTAGGATAGTTGTATTATATGTATGAGAAAGTGAAAATAGTTTCATTGCAGCTAAGGAGAAAGGGAAATCCCTCTAGAAAATTTGACATAGAAAGATTAATATTTTCTTATTATTCCTTCCAACCCAAAATCTCAAACCCAACATAGGGAGCTATAGTAAAAAATGATGAACCAAAAAGTAATAAGGAGAAACTCACAATTACACTCTTTCTACTCTATTTAGAACACAAACAAACCTGTCCTTCCATTTACCTCTTCTTCCTGTTCCCCCTCCTCCATTGTATGTAAATTAAAAATGTAACAACTCTTCCCAAGGGCCCCCCCTTCTTTGAACCTTCAACTACCACACAATATATTCACAAGGAACCATAGATGGGAAATTTACCCCAATTGACAAAACCCTTTTTCTTCTTTCTTCTTCTCTTCCCCAACACCTTGACACCTTTTATGCCCCAAACCCTAAAAGAATTTAATATGATCTTCTTTACTTTCTCTTTGGCCACCCTTTACACAAAATACATCAGAAGAAGAAGAGGAAATGCAAGAAACAACATATAGGAAACAAATTTCCCTTCCCCCCTACTCAACCAAGTTGAGAAGTCCAGCGACAACCATTTTCATCGCTAAATGTCGCGTTGTCATCAAGAATGAGAGACAAACGTCCCGACGTAACCCGATCCAACGATGAAGAACGCTACGGCTTGAACGAAGAGGTACAAGTAGTAGCGGTACTGTCCGTAGGCCAGATCGTACAACCCGCAGGTCAGGAGGTAAAATCCAGTCAGAATCTCCAACACATGAAGCCTACAAAAAAAACAGATTGATTGAAGGTCTCGCCCATTCATCATTTATGATCTCCTTATAATTTCAACATCGACAAAGAGATGAATCAACCATGCCTAATAAATTACCTCTCGCCAAGCCTGAATCGAGGCTTTTTGGGCGCCTTGGTGGATTTGTTGGCCTTAAGGGCATCTCCTAGCTTCTCAGTCACAATCCATTCATTCACTCTCCCCGTCTCCAGCAAGCCTATGAAGGTAGCCTTGGTTCGATGGAGGGATATGACGTTCTCGAACACGATCCAGAAGATCACCAAATGAAGCGACCTAGGAGTGCCAACCGAGTTCAAAACAGTAATGATTGAAGGAATGTAGACGAGCCCCCACTTTGGGACCTCAACTTCAGGCACCACGACGGTTAGAGGCAAAACGACGCAGTAGAAAACGAAGGTGATGATGTGGGCTACAATCTTCCTGACGAAGAAGAAGCTGTAGATCACATGGACCTTCTTCCACAATGTCACTTTCTGAGCTCCCAAACACACAAAAATGGAAAAGAAAAGGGGTGAGCTTCCTGATAAGGTGAAACCGAGCTTGTATAGGAACAAAAGGTGGGAGAAATTACAGACCTTGTTCATGGCGATTTCCTTGATCATCTTCCTGAAGAGGTTGGCTGGACCACATGACCACCGGTGTTGTTGATAACGGTAGGCCTTGAACGTACTTGGCAACTCATTTTTCACCTGGTAATTAAATTCCAACCAATTAATTAACCAGCCGACCATCAATCTTTATTTATGCAAGTTTCCTTCGACAGGCATGAAAGGAAGGAGGGCAGGGAAAAGAACCCTCCGTCCATTTCCCATGGAATGGAACCAGACAAGACAAAGGAAACAACACGCAGTCCTTAAATTTATAGCTAGACAAAAGCTTGTTGGAATTTAGTCTAGCTAGGATAGCTCGAAACCTGAAGACTAGGATTGTGATTAAGTTGTCAATTATGTTCACTTTACAGAAATAATATTTTCATGATTCTATCACAATCCTGATTTCGGATTATCGTACATAAAATCTCGTGTATAATTCGTATAAAAGTTTGTAGTCTTTACTTCATCAAACTAATTGGAGTGAAGAGATTTCCCTTATGAACGACCCCACAAATTGATGTTGTGTCACATCACATATTCTTTCAAAAGAAAATTATTTCATTTTGTTTTCTTCTTGTAGTCTCAAATTGAATTAAGTGTTGGTATTAAGATTTGCTAGACCGATGTGTAACAGGCATTTACTTGTTTAGTCATTTTGAAGACTTTAATATCATATTAAGAACCAATCTTTATAAGGGGTTTAATGAATAAAAGACAGGGCTGTGAAGTTACGTTACCCTGAGGTCGTCGAGGTACAAGAACTTCCAACCCTTGAGACTGGCCCGGACGGCGAGGTCCATGTCCTCGACTGTGGTTCTGTCCTTCCACCCGCCGGCTTCGTTCAGCGCGGCGATCCTCCACACGCCGGCGGTGCCGTTGAAGCCGAAGAATGCGTAGGTGGAGGAGCCGACCTCTTGCTCGACGGAGAAATGGTAGTTCAATGACATCTCTTGCATTCTTGTCATCAGGCATTCGTCAGCATTCACTAGAAGAAGAAAAAGAAGAAAAACAGCACAGCTGGCGAACATTATACACAGTACATTTTATAATAATCATTAAAAAGAAAAGAACAAACAAAATCAAAATCTAGTACAGTGAGTTGTTCGTTAAGCAGACAGGGACAAGGACTAGGACATGAACATGAACATGAGGTCCACCATTTAGAACTTGCACATGCATATGCTTAGCTTGCTATGGTTTGCTTGCTGGCGAATACAAAGTATATATATGTATCACTCGGCATCTACACCACGAGGTGTTCAAATGAGCATAAAAAAGTAACAAAGTTTGTTTTATAAATACCAAGAAAAAAGAGAGAATGTTCTAGTTGGCTACGGACTACCATGTGTTGGGTTCGGTTATCATGCAAAATTACCATCCTCTTTGATTCGATGGCGGTAAACATGCAAAATTAGTCTTATGTTATCGGTTTGTGTAGATTTTTAACTAGTAAAATTAGTCTGATGGCAGTCAAATTTACATGAGGGATCATTTCGAACTAGTAAAATTCATACTATATTGTCGAAAATATATAAAAATAAGCATTTTTTTTGGAAGTAAGAGGAAAATGCCAAAAGAATATATGAGGAAACGGTTTGTTTGGGGGGAAAAGAATCTAGCCTTGACCCATGTATTCCCAAAAATGTAAGGGCCAAACATGCCACATTTTCTATTCTACCCAACCCATTTTTAGTCACATACAAGCATTATTTGGTGTGGTTGGATTTGGACCCCAAGATTCTTGGATTTCATTTTCCATTGGGGGTGAGGTTTGTTATCTTCTCCAATTCCAATAGAAGCTCTTTTCTTGCAAAAAGAAAGGTGTGTGGGTGTGGTGATGGGAAGGAAGTAGTTGCCAAAATTCAATTAGGTAGGTGGTTCATGTAAATAGACTTGTGGGTGGTCCATTTTTTAAATGTGTTATTAGTTAGTCCAAATCACATCCTTTTCCATGCCATGCATGTTGCATGTGAGAAAAAAATTTTGGGTTGATTTAGTGTGAACACTTGAAAGACGAGTGGGAGAAAACAAAGGAAGAGATAAACTACCACATACTCTCTCTTGAACATCCTACAATTACAATGGACTCTCTTCAACGTTGTCACTCGACAACGTTTCAAACGCCTGATCAAACATCTTCAAAAAGATTGGGCATTAAAGAAAGTAATTTATGTGCTACAAACATCAAGAATAAAAAGATGCAGAGTGAATAGAAATTGCTCTGCATTCTGACTTTCTTATTTTCATTCGCCTCGTTTAGTTGAATTTTTAGAATATGAATGATACCATGTTGGAATTTGACATTCAACCTACTATTAATTGTTCTCTTATTAATGATTCTACTATTAGATTTATCACTTTTTTAATCCTTAGTTGATTAAAATTTTGTATGTCAAATTTGAAGGGGAAAAGAAGGGGGAAAAGGTAAAAGAAACAACTAACAACACACCTACAACACAACCAACTCAGTTATTTTCTTAATTAATCCCCCAGCAAAGCTCACAGATAGCATGAGGGTCCACCCTCAGAGACACCCAATCAACACTCGCCACGTGTCCAGCCAGCAAGGAGTGGACTGAAAAGAACCACGAGGTAGGACCCACTTTCACTCTCCCACTACTCCACCAATCCCTTTCTCTTCCACAACCCAACAAAATTATAAGTATAAAATATTGAAATCAACAAAAAATAATTTTCCACAGCACAAAACCACCGACAGTCTCTTGAATTGCTTCAGAAAATAAATAATAAAAAATAGGAAATTTAATAAAAAAATTCATTAGTCAGGCCCTGAATTTAACGACCTAAAACATGAAAACCAGCGAATGTCACATTCCTACATTTCAAGCATTAATCACGGCTAGAAAACTATCAATTTAACGGTCTAAATTAGAAAGTCATGTGAACTCTAATGCAAGGTGAAACCTTTCACAAAATGATATGTAAGTGAAAACGAAGCGAGATGTGCTTATTAATAGCTTACCGAATTTCCAACGGGCTTGAACTAGACCAATCTCGGGGTTGTGCACGAGGAACGGGATGGTCCGCCATAGGAAATCGGGCTCGGGCTGGAAATCGGCATCGAAAATTGCCACGTAGTCGCAGTTCTTCACGTAGCTTCGCTTCATTCCTTCCTTCAGGGCTCCTGCCTTGTACCCATTCCTGTTGTCTCTGATTTCGTACTTAATGTTGATCCCTTTGCTTGCCCATCTCTGGCATTCTAGCTCCACCATATCCTAAAATCACGAATCAAAACCACAATTCAATCAAAATTTTAATGAAAAGATCGGAGTAGATAGAAATAATGTATCGATCCAACCTACCTTGATCGTAGGATCGGTCGAATCATCAAGAACCTGAATTATGATCCTGTCCGAAGGCCAGGATAACCCGCAAGCTGCTCCGATCGAAAGCTGATACACCTGCGATTCAAATGTCGTATAAACCGATCATACCAATTAATCGATCCAATTTCAACCAGATATTCTACTCGGTATGAGAACAAATTGGCTAACAAAATATCTTATTAACCCGGTCCGTCGTACGAGGTTGAACCGGACCAGTGAACAAGACAGGCCGGAAACTCTGGTCCTCAAAAAAAACAAAAAATGCAACTTGCTTTGAGAGCCTAGATTTTTATTTTTGTTTGTTTAACTAACCTCGCGTTCGTTGTACATTGGGACTTGGATTAAGACCATGGGGTAGCCGGAGTTCCCCAGCTCGACGTCGTCCTTCATCGGCTCCCATTTGTACCGCTTCTCCGGCCGCCGGCCGAACAGCTTGATCAGAATGATGACGACGCCCATGTACACCCGCTCGATGAACAGCATCACCGACATGATTAAGCAGACGGCGACGGCCAGCCGGAGCAGCGGCACGATCAACGGAGCTTTGATCTGGTCCCACACCATGGAGAATTGCAGGGTAAAGTCGTCCCTCGCTCCCCGGAAAGATTCCGGAATTACCCTCGTCGTGTACTCCATTCTTTCTCCTCCTCTTCCCCTTTTTCAGACACAGCCAACAAATTGGAAGGCTGGAAAAAAGAAGGGTTTAGATCTGGGAGAAATGGGGGAAGATTGGAAATGGTTTGGGGGGGTGAGATCTTAAGCTAATCGAGGAGTGTACATTCCATTTGTGGGGGAGCTGAGAAATGTGAACTGTCTATCACTCTGTTTTTGCTCTGCTTCTTAGCTCCGAGCAGAAGCAGGGGAGCTCTGGCAATGGCGGAAGGGGGAGAGGGAAACAAGGGGGAAATGTTTGTTTTTTTTGGGGTGCTGTTGAGGAGAAGAAGTGGACAATAATGGTGGGTTTTATAGGGGGGCTCAAATCTCTTCTTGTGGCTTTCAAGTCTTCAGTAGCACTGTTCTCTGTTTTTTTCCTACCATTTTCCTTTTTCTCTATGAAGTCATTTGATGTTTGTAAATAAACAGGGGTCAGGGAAACGGACCGGGTACCTGGGTTCGATTCAGGTTGAATCTATTGTGTGGTTCGATTAGTTTTTTGAGTATGTACGCTCTTGAGTTGGTTTGATTTGTTCGAGTGTAAATGATTGGATCTGATCTACAATGTTTGATTGCATTGCACAGTAAAAATGCATGCTATAAAACCCGATTGGTCGTGTTAGTAATCAAACGAATTTGTACTTTTATGATTATGTGAGATTTGTTTCCTTAGTTTTCAGCTCTACGCAGCTTTCTAACTCTCTTCTTTGTATCTTCCTAATAAAATTCTACATCATTCTTCATTCATAGAAGAAAATGCGATTAGGTTTCAATACGATTCACTATGTCAATCAATACTAATTTGATCAAAAATTGATAATGCAAGCTGAATAAATAGTTTGAGGTAGATTTTCGATCCTCTTAATTAATTTACGTTGTATTACTTTCTACATAATATTATATAAGATGGATTGATTTTCCACCGGATCGAACCGGACCATTGCCCACCATATATTTCTACTAATGTGATTTTCTTTTCCTTTCTGCCCTTTTCTTTCAAAATCTTTTCGGGTTTATTTTGAGGAAATGTCACCTTCTTCGTGAGGTTCTAAAACCCAACCTACTGTTTTAAACCAACAAAGAGTGCCGTTTAATTATTGTGTTTAGAAATTGTAAAAAAAAAATAATAATAAGGGAAAGGCAGGTGTCCAACCAAGTTAAAATGATCACATAGTCCACCGCCGGTTGAGCTCCGGTGCCTTGTCGGCCGATCGGCGATAATGTATCTTGGATCTCGATTTGCTTTAAATTCATGTAAATTCCATAGTTGAAGAGTGATCATATGAGTGATTAATTCATATATTAGTGTCTCATTAAGTTTTCGATTTTCATTTCTGACTACGTTGAACTCTTTATTTGTATACCTTACAATGTTTTGTGGAATTCGAGTGACCTATGAGAGGGTGAATCAAGTTAGTTTTTGAAATTTAAGTTTATGCATTTTCCTTCACATTCTAACATATGTTTTGTATTGTGATGTTGGGGAATTAGGTGGGGAGCAGATATTAATTAGGCTAGTTTTGTTTGTTGTATTTGGGAAAATATTAGTTGGGAATTAAGTATGACTTGATATTAAGGCTTGTTGTGCGGTTCATATTATTGACCGATTTGATTGATTATGAGTATCTTTTAGAGTTAGTGCTAAAACTTTTTTTTTTGTTAATAACAATGCTACAACTTTAAGGAATAAATAAATAGTGGAAATATGGGTGTATGAGTACACCTAATATGCATTTGAGGTAAAATACACCGCATTGGCATATATGGTGTGTGCATCTCATGTAGTTGGTATTTGATGGTCAAAAGATCGATAATCTATTTAGAAAAAGAAATTTTGTAGAAAATATGTTGTATTCGAGTTGCGACTATCATTAAGAGTTATTCTACTCCTTAAAAGGTGAGCATACATTTATCCAATTACAAATGCTACTTCGTATACGTAACCTTATAATATAAAGTCGATCTTAGCTATTGATAATGGATCAAAGCGTTATGATTTATGAAGTTATTGTGATAGTGTCTAATATTCAAGCAAACACATATTTATCCAACTACAAGCAAAAACTTTGTGTTTATAAACGATATTATACAAGCTCGATCCTAACTAATAGTAATGGAAAAAAAAGTTTTATTAATTGTCAAGTCATTGTGAGACATGTATATTTTAAGTAATGCGACCAAGAATGTTAGCAATTACATCATCTTTTTGTGGTGTCATGTTTAATCATGCGGTGCTTTGAAATGATTAACTAATGCGGACTTCAAACATCCCATCATTTTGCAAAGTTGATTTAGAAAACATGTGTTCATGGAATCAGAAGAATACTACATTCTTCTTGTTATACATAAAGGAGGTTAATCATTTTCATTAATAAAGTGATATTATTATTGATTTTGAATCGAGAGGTCTAATATTTGAATTTCATAAATATAACCTAACTGTAAGAATAAACTTATACAATTATAGAAAAAGGGTCTTAGTCCCAAATGCATGCAATGCTACCCGACTTCTCACGAGCATCCGATCAAATTACATGAGGGATTATTTGGGTTTATAATCCTACAGGTGGTCGCAGATGGATTTTTCTCTGAATGATAGGACGTGGAAATTCGGACCCAGAAGCAAATCGTGACATCTCGTTCGCAGTGGTATTTTGGGCTTACAAACTAGAAAATATATTTCCCTGAACAAATTCTTATTTGCTATTAGATGAGAATTAGTGTAGCTTATGTGGGGAAAGAATACTTGATTTCATTCATGCACAACATTTTTAGAAAAAACATTTAATTAATGATTCAGAATGTCGACAATTTGTTTCATCATTAGTTTTCTATATATTCCACCTAGCCTCGCCTAGCAAGGTCAACCGAGAAATGGATTTTTCAACAAACAAACTTAAGGCCCGTTTATTTATGCTTCAATGATAGATTCAATAAAATACTTGCGAAAAATCATTTTCAGTTAGGTGATTCCTTCGGCATTTCCCCACTCCAAAGGTAGGTCCATAATATTGATCGAGAGACATAATAAAGCAATAAATTTTGGTGCACAGTAGCATAAACCCATTTTAACTATTATAAAGCAACATCAAACATGAAATCTTCCATTAATTAACACCACAAATACAAATATCACAAGTACTAGTGATATTTGTTAAATCGCATACAAGAATTAATCAATTAGAAGACCTAGCTATTGGTAATTTCATGTAATGAATTCTTTCACAATTTAATATTTTATTTCGAGTGGTTAGTCTCTTGACCTTGTAATGGGAACAAAAAAATTGATTCAATTTTAGCAACAACAAAAAAAATCTCTTTAATTCTTTGATGAAAATAGTTAGTCTACTGCGAGAATGGTGAATGCATGTTCATCCAATTACAGGAGTTGAGATTTCTGCTTACACTCTAACAGGTGATCTCAAATAGATTTTGCTTTGAATGGTCGAATGTAGGAATTTGAACTCATAAGCAAATCGTGTCAATTTACATCTTCCCGGTCGAATCATCTAACGAACATAGTAGATCGGTTCAGACAAGAAAATATATTTATGTGAAGATATTCTTATTTGGTATAAGAGGAGAATTTATGCAACTACTGTGGGGAAATAAAATTTGAGTTCGTTTCGTGCAAACATTTTTCAGAAAATATTTTAACTGACAGCTTTGTATGTCGACAAATGGCTTCATCATTGGTTTTCTATATATTCTTTCCACCTTAGCCTTAGCCTAGCAATGTCAACTGAGAGATGGATTTTCCAACAAACAAACTTGAGGCCGTTTTACTGATGCTTCAATGAATGGATTCTAGCAACATCCAACGAATGAATGATTCAATAAAACACTTGTCGAAATCATTCTCAGTTTAGGTGATTCTTTCAGCATTTCTTTCCTTTATAGGCTAGGCCATAATACTGAACAAGGAAAAATATAAAACATTAAATTTCATTATATTATTATACCGATGATGAATGAAATATCTCCTTAATTAACACAACAAATAACAAAAATTTCAGGTCATGTTTCAGGAAACTGTATCATAATTCATAAGTATCGGCGACGTTGTTTAACCACATACAAGTGATCAATTAAAAGAGCTAGTTATGTCGTAAATTATACATTAGTCTGCAATAAATTCTTATACGATTTGCTATTATATTTAGAGTGGTTAGTCTTTTGAACTCATAATGAGGGGCAAAATGATTTGATATTAACTCACAATACATATTTTGAGATAAATAGAGGAATTATTATAAGAACTCCAAATTTTGTAAGAATCTAAACTCAAAACCGACAATATTTTACAAAAGTTAATATATTTTATAGACAGGCAGGCGGTCTTAAAGAGACTGCTCAACGGCTGCCGCCCATTGATGGTATTGTGGTGGAGCAACCTTTTTCTTGAATCCACAGAAAAAGAAACCCAAATCGTCGGCACTCGGCAGTTAGCAACTTAGCATTTAGCTAGCAAGGCTATATCTGATTTTTATTAATTACAATTGCACACCTGTAGTTTTTTTTAAGGGTTTGCATAATTCGCCCTAATTAAAAGTCATTGTAGTAGGTATCTTTAACTAGCTAATACTATATAAACAATAATTTAACGATCAAGAAAATGTTACTATAATACTCATTATCTAAAGCCCACATGTTTTCCTTACTAATAAAATGGTTGGTATTGACTTTCGATGGAGTAAGCAGTACAAATAGAAACTATAGTGACTGGATTAATATATCTATCTCACAGGAGGGTTGAGGTTTGGGTCAATCGTTTATTTTCCTAGTGTTTGTCTTGTAACGTACTTTGATACAGTAATTAACCGATCATATCAGAGAAGAAGTGTTCGTTTCAAGAGGTTGTATGGTTTTTTGGTACCACATTCTTTAATTCTTAACTACTCGTTTGCTCAAGGCCAAAACATGGCCAAAAATTGGGAGTATTGGCCTAACTGCTGGGGCACATGTGGTGCCATGGGATCGAA